AAATTTTTGGAGTGTGTTCATAAAAAATAGGTGAATCTTTAAAATATATAAAAAAAAAATTACATGAAATAAATTGACCAAAATACCCCCAAAAAGTTTTGGGGGGTATTTTGGTCATTTTTTTTCTACGAATACTTTTTTTTATATTTTTATTGGGTGCGCCTTGATGAGAAGAACACATATCTAAAATTTCAAGTGATCTGGATTTGTAGAAAAAAATTAAAATTCAAACACTACCGGACATCTGTGATCATCAGATCGGCCCAGATTCAATCTGGGCCGTTGGGCTCATATATTCATATGAGCTAATGGACTAATCCCATCTTTTCCCATATATATATATATATATATATACAGGGAAAAGTTTATATAAGGTTGCAACCTTAAAATGTAGAACTACGGTGCACCCCAAAAATCCATCGGTAAAGGTTCTTTTAATTTTGAAAAGCCCTCTAATTGATCATCTTGACATCGAGATATATGACTATGAAAAAAAAAAAATTTAAGTCCTAGAAATAGTGCATCTTATAGCACATTATCTAGACCGCCCATTTTCAAGATTTTGACATGTTTATAAATCTACTTGATTTTAATCATTTTTTGAGTTTAAAATTTTATAATTAGAATTGAAAATAGATTTTGAGATAATCTTAAGAATATTTTACATCAAAATTATATGTTATGACAAAATTTGAAGGTGCACCTTAAATGGATGGTTTAAGGTTGCAACCTTATGAAAACCACACCCATATATATATATATATATATATATTGGGTAAATCAGTGGGGAATGCAAGCCCCTACCCATTTTTATAAATAGTTAATGGTTTTTGAGTGTATTAGTGGGAATGGAAATCTAGACCAGTAGCTGAGGCTCAAGTGGTGCTACCACCACGACCTCAATCCCATTCCCTTAAATGAAATGCATGCACCATATTAGTAAACCATATAGTCTTTGCTGTTAATTTTTTTATTGATTTTGTTGAAAAACTTGATACTGATACAGATTATTTATCCATTTTACAGGATAAAGTTGGTGAGTTTCAAGAAACTTTGCAGAATTGCTTTATCGTCCAGAAAACTGATGAGGTTTCCAAATAAAAGGAGAATTTGGAGGAATTTATGGATCAAATATGTTCTCAGTTATTTTTATTTTTATTTTTTTATTCTTTTCCCATTGTGATGTTTTAAGTGTTAATCGACTGTCAAAAGTTCATGATAAAGACCCACCATTGTTGTGCTCAAAGTTGTCCTTTATCTTGCCTACATAAGACTATAAAATTTGATTTTGTGTTGTGTTTACGTGTGATATTTTTTCTGTCAAAACTTTTGTTGTTACATTTTATTCCTATCAAGTATTTGTTGTTTGTGAATGGTTCTGAGCTTACTTAGCTGTCTTTAAAATGGGTATCTCATAGGATTTTATATGGGTGATTATCATAGGATAGATGAATGGAAAACCCAGGGCTTGTTAGCCATAGCATTTTATTTCCACTTTTGAAATTTAAATCCTTGATGAAATTTAAAATGCATACTCTATAAAGATCTGTAATATCATTTGTATCTGCTTGTTGATTCACATTTTCGGATGCTTACTCTTGAATGTTCCATCATGTGTAGTTTGTCACTTGGGTATCCTACCAAAGGTTTCTCATTTATGTACTGATGGTTGTCTTTGTTGCTTTTCTATTTGCAGTATGTCATATTGTTAAGAACTACATCGCTCATCTTTTGAAAACAAAGGTGCCTTTAATCCTAGGTAATATACTTCTACTTTGGCTACAAGACTTGGTTTTTTTTTTTTTGGGTCAAAGGTTCAATTGATCAGTTCGTATCACTTTTAAATTACAAGATTTCATTTTTGGGTTAAGGCTTTCCCTTATTATGGTCATGTTAGCTAGTATATTTCTCCCGGTATTAGAAAAGGTAGAAAAATGCTTGAGGGATATATACAGAGAGCAGAAGAAATGACATAGATTTCATTTAGCAAAACAGAGAAGTTTCTAAGACTAAGCAAGGATTTTAAAGCTTGACGAGATAAGTAAGGTTGTGGCATTAGATACTAGGGAGTCCGGAGGTTCTCTAGAATATGCAGAATATGGAAACCTTTGCAATGGAAGCCGTTAGGCATCAACCTGGTTACTAGGGAGTCCGGAGGTTCTCTAGAATATGCAGAATATGGAAACCTTTGCAATGGAAGCCGTTAGGCATCAACCTGGTTTTGCTAATGTAGATTTATTATGCATCATGGCTCTTCTTAGTTCTCTTTTATAATTGACTTCATTTGTGAAAAAGAATATACTGCAGCAAGCTCAATACATGGAATATTACAAGAGGACTCCTCAAATTTGAGGTCTAAACCTTTCCAATGCACCCAATTATGTTCTAGCTTCCCTTAGTTGGGAAAAAAAATTAAGTCAAAATCTCTTTTCAAATGGCTATATTATTTAGATGCTACAGATGTTTTATTGTTGACCTTTATTTTACATTGTAGATCTCCATCATATTGGACAAACCAATTTTGTATCAGCATTGTAACAGCGTCTACTTTTTTCTTTGAGATACTTAACATTTGATCTGATCAATATCATAGTGTTTTCCTCTCCTTTCTGCAGGTATCTGGGGTGGAAAAGGTCAGGGCAAATCATTTCAGACAGAATTAATTTTTCAAGCTATGGGAATTGAGCCAGTCATTATGTCTGCTGGTGAACTGGAGTCTGAGAGAGCAGGTTCATTAACATCTAACAAAGTCCCCTTAAGCTTGCTTTCATTACTTTAATTAGTCATCGATATGGAATTCATTTCAGAATGATTAAGCTACAAAGATGGCACGTTTGGATGCATCAAAATGGAATCACATTCCACAGATCCCTGGGTTGCCTCAGAACTCCTGTATCAACAAATTATACCACAGCATCTACTTCTGTTTTATATGAATTAGGCTGGTTTTTTCCTTAATTGAAATCTAAATTCGGTTAGACTAAAATGTTCACCTCACGAATCAGGTTTACAAACACTTTTATGCACAAAGACCATGGATTAAACCCTTTACTTGGCGTTGCACAAGGCAAGCAACTTGAGCTTTTGAACACCGAAGTATATAGCTTTCAGCAGTTAAAGGCTCAAAACCTGTTTACTTCGATTGCCTCTCCATAATGAAAGCTAGAATCCAATTGATCACTTTGCTAAACTAGATCACTGCTCGAGATAAAGGAAAAGCAATCCGAGCAGCTCAATCTTTTCTTCTCATTCCTCCATCCCTTACTTCATGGATCTTCTTAAGTATTACTGACATACTTATGCTCTTGGCTGCTAATCTTTCTTGAGCGGAGAGATCTATTATTTTGTTTGATCTCCCTCACAGCCAAGTAAGAGGTGTGGAACTTGAAAATGAATGCATTATTTGTGCCCAACAAATTATTCTAATAAAAGTGATTAAGAAGCAGAGAGTATTGATGCTACATTCATGTTTACAGCCACATTTGACATTCCATTAAAAAGGAAAAATGTGAAACTTCTCCCATCCTGCTTGCTTATGTCATTTGAATCTTGAAAAACATAATAAATATGAAAATGTGACTTAAAATTTCCACTACTTAAATCTTTTTGAATCGTTGTTTACCATGTTTGAGTGATGATAAAATGTTTTAGCTCTGCATTTGCCTTGTTTTACTCGTTTACTTTGTTCCACATGTGTTTTGAACATAAGCTGGCTGTTGTGCGTGTGTGTGTGTGTGTGTGTGTCTCTCTCTCTCTCTCTCTCTCTCTCTCTTTTATCTGATTTATGAGCAGTGTCATTAAAACCTACAATAGTTTTCCTCTAAAGAGTCTTTATGGAATTGGTGTTCTCCTTGTTTTATCTATATCTACAACAAAAAGTGAAAAAGAAGAAGGCAACACTCCCTGATTTAAATATATCCATTCATGCAAGGCTCGTTTTGCAGGAGAACCGGGTAAGCTTATACGTGAGCGATACAGAGCAGCTTCTCAAGTTGTTCAGAACCAAGTCAGAAGCCTCTCTTCTTTTCCACACTAATAAAATATGTATGTTGCAGGAATATATGATGTTGGTATCTAGATATTAAATCTTTCATATCCTTTGTTTCTGATACATAGATGCCATGCCTGCTATCTTTCCATTTAGTTCATGTTCCATGAGTTTTGATGCTCAAGCAATAAAAATTTGAAGTTGCTCCAGATTGAACTTTTTGTGCCATATGTGTGATGATATCCACCAATAAAGAGAAACTGCATACATGGTAGATCTATATGATGCCAGTGTGTGACTTTGAAGTTTGTGTATATCAACAAGTTACCTTCAATTGAATTACTTATGTAGTAAATTGAATGTATTTGCCTTCCTTTTTCATAAGCTACCTCTATCCTTACGTCTAGTCTTATGAAATGCCTTTATGGTTCCTTCAACATAATTTGCTCATTGTATTAGAATAACCAATATCAATGAGAAGATAAATACTAGTTCTTATCTCTTAGTAGCTGAAAACTTGCTTAGAGCTAACTTTTGTTCAGATTGAAGAAATATTCAGATTCTTAATTCCCAATGCAGTACTATACTTTATTCATCTTCATCTTATATGAATTGGTTTCTATCCTCATCATCAGCTCATTCAGAGTGCTTTTTAGATTGTTTCACTGAGTGTGATATACATAAAATTTTGCCTAAGGTTTGTCCTTTCTTTCTTCACCACACTACATGCATATCTTTATGATAATGGTTTTATTTAATGCAGGGAAAGATGAGCTGTTTGATGATCAATGATATAGATGCTGGTTTGGGGAGATTTGGTGAGGACCTACAGTATCTTGGCTTAAATACATTGGATGGATTTTTTGGTGTCATAATAAATTAATTATACCATGAAGAATTTTTGGATTTTAAAAATTTGCGGACTTTTTAAAATTAAAAATTATCTACGCTTCTTCTTTTTTTTCTTTTGTTTGTGAAAGCTGGAATCTGAATCTGAAGGTAATGGTTCCCATGAAGAGCTCCATATTGCCAGGCTATGGCATAATCTTGCTGTTAAGATTATGGTTTTATCATGTGCATGCATTGGATATGCGGTAATCGAAAATAACTTCAATGTTGTTCATTTACCTTTTGGTTGTGATCAGTCTGATGCTAGTGTAGTATATAACTGTAGCTTTCTATTTTGTTAAACCAGAAATAGTCTTTTGTTAGTTTCTAACTTGTTTTGTTACTAGCCATTTTCCCTTGTAAAGAGGTTCTGTTTGACTTGCTCTGGTCTTGTAACTAATCTCCCAGATTTTTGCCAAAAGAGGAAATTGATATAATACTTGTTTCAGACTCCTGAATTTGCAGTATTTGACATGCTTTCATTCTGTGCAAAACAGCATGTTGTTGTCTGATCTATTATATTCCATTTACTTGTCAATCACTATGAAATGTTACTTATTGCTTCCCTTAATTCTTTCCTCTAGGTAATACTCAAGTAACCGTAAACAATCAGATTGTTGTTGGCACACTTATGAATTTGTCAGATAATCCTACAAGAGTAAGCATTGGACAAGACTGGAGAGAATCAGATATCACTCATCGTATTCCTGTCATAGTAACGGGAAATGATTTTTCCACTCTTTATGCACCTTTGATTCGTGATGGAAGGATGGAAAAGTTTTATTGGTGCGTATTCCTTCTCAAAATGGGATGCGATTTCGTTTTTGTGTTGCATGTTGGCATTTCCAAAAACATGACAATTCATGATATATTCCCTTTTGTAACTGTTATTATTCAGCATTTGGCTGGTATTAGATCTTGCTCAAACAAATTTGATTTACTTAGGAATGGGCTCAAAGCTAGGTGGGCACGGTGGTGGCAGCCACAAAATAATATCTTGAGTTTTGTTCCTGTCACGGGTGGGGGACCCTTACCCCGGCAAACTATGCAAAAAAAAAAAAAATTGAAAAAAGAAAGAGAGAGATAGAGAGAGCGCCACCCATTTTTTGTACAGGACCTCTTCTCTTGGGGAGCCTAACATTTTTTGCCGAGAGACCCGGCCTGTGGGTCGTCTCGACGGACTACTGTAATACTTATCTTAATACAACAGTTAACAACATCAAGAGAGAGAGAGAGAGAGAGAGAGAGAGAGAGATACTTTTGTCACACTTCACAGCAAGTCCAAATTTTCAAACTCATGCACTGCTGCTTGGATTTCTATTCCTTGCATGGTATGAAAATTCTTCAATTCCAGTTCCATTGCATATATTCAAGAGGACAAGCATGGTTGTTCTTTCATATGTATGGCTATGTATAACATAATATATTAAAAGTATAACGCACTTGTGTATGTGTGCATGGAAGGTTTCATAATTCCATATTGCTTCAAGGTAACCATACTACCATTAGAACAGTGAACCTGTCAAAATTGAGACAAATCATGTTGACTTAGTCTGCTAAGATATGCTCTTTTGAAACTTTTCATTGTATTAAGTTACACACGCAAATTTTTGCCACAATGTAGCCATCTAGCTACCACAACCAGAAAAAGGAAAGGATGCTATTCAATTTTATTTTTTTGACTATGTCCCTCCAGTGTTGATCAATGTTCGGACATCCTATGGCTTGTAATGTCAACACAACTGTATCACCTATCTTGAAAACTAGTGGCATCAAAAGCATTTTCTTCTTGTAGAGGAAAACTTAGTTAGTTTCATATGATTAGTAAATGGCTATTCTTGGATCCTTTGAAAACTTGGTAGTAAGCCTGCTTATGGTAGATCAATTCTCTATCATTCATAAACAGAGAAAAGCTTGTACGAGAACAATAGTAGGGCAGGGATCCTCTTTTATATACTTGGTCGTGCATAAAAGATAAGTGCGCTATAAATTATTTATGAATATGTTTGTTTCAGAATTTGCTAATCATAAGCATTGTCTTGTTGAACTGAATGTACCTTTAGATCCTTCTAGTGTGCTTTCCATAGGTTCTGAAATACAATTGGCAATAAGCAATCCTCATTTTTTTTTTGTCTTTAGGCAGCCAACACGTGAAGATATTGTAAATATTGTCCACAGAATGTACGAGAAGGATGGGATTTCTAAAAATGAAGTTGCCAGCATTGTCGACACATTTCCAAGTCAAGGTAAGCCTTTTTCATTGTTGCAAAGTTGATTTGACAATGGGATGAACTTTGTACATGTCCCCATAAAATCTACTTGTGCGAGGATCACACTCTCATATTTACTTTTTTGTAAAATGTGTGCTGCACACTTCGATTAATGATTTTGATGAAGGAGATCAATTTCAACAATTCATTGAGATTCTTTGACTTGATGCAACCTAGATTCAGCACAGAAACCTCATCAATCCTCCTCAATCTGAAGCCACTAAACTACATTTTAGTGATAGGAATATATATTATGAGTTATGTGAGTATTCTACAGGCCCTGCCAAATTTGATTCAAGGCCATCGAATATAGGTATTCCAATTCAAAGGAACACTACAAAAATCCCCACCTGTTCTTGATGTTGACAGGAGGAACTCAGCTGATTTTAGCATTGTAGGTCATGCATTGAGTTCTTAATCTCTAATGTCATGGATACTTCATTATTCTTTATTTGCCTGCTTCAAGTAAACTGTAAATTAATCTATTACTTAGATTCCTCTAGTTTAACGCTAACTGTTCAAATTATTTTGACCATCTCCTAGAATTGTTTTAGTGATTATATGTAACTGATATTCTTGGAGCAGACTTTATGTTATTCAATTTACATGTTTCTGATAAAATACAGCCATCATAAAATTCTATCCCGGAATGAAAATTTAATTTTGAATTTGCAGCCTTGGATTTCTATGGAGCCCTGAAGTCTCGAACATATGATAGATCAATCCTGAAGGTATTTGAGAAGTAAAATTTTCACCAGATGATTCTTATCTATTTGTTTTAGATCTTTTCAGATCTTGCAGTATAAAAGATGCCCTCTTCTCCCTGGTACACTGACATGTTCATAAAAAGTGAACTCTCTAATAATTCACTTTCCATTTTATCATGTAATAGGAAACATTGACGGCATAAGTAATTGAAGTTTCTCCCAAGAGATCAGATTTAACTGGTTTCTGATTTCATTTTCTGCATATGCCTCATCTTATACAGCTTTATTTTGTAGTGGGTTTCTGAAAACGGCGGTTATGAAAAACTCGGGGAGATACTTCTCAAAAGGAAACGGGTTGATAAGCTCCCTACATTCACGCCACCCAAGGTATTGGCCTCTCTTTCTTATATGTTCTTCCTACCAAGGACAGAATTATTGGTGCCTCCGTGGCTTTGGTTCAACGTAAATATCCACAAAACTTAATAGTGAAACCAACCTGTATCCGTTGTGCAATTTACTGTTCATACACAAAATTAGGAGTGAACATTGGGTCTGGTTGACTCGTTGGTCCACTGGGTCAACTCAACCTTGTTCTGGGTCTGAACCTAGGAAATGGACTAGTGGGTCAGTTTGGGTTTGATGGGACCTAGTCTTGATCGGGTTCGGGTTCGGGTCCAGGCCGGCCCTAATAGGATCAGGACAGAGTGTCAACCCAACCCAGATAGTTGTGTGTGCGCACACACTCGTGTGTGTGAAATTTATACATTATAATAAATTATACTAAATATTATATATCTGATCCTGATTGGACCTGTTTGCACCCCTACACACGATGTATGGGTATTTCCATTCAGGTGATGCCCTGATATCATTTTGGTGGATTTACCCAAATGAAGAGTTGGCTTCCAAGACCAGGAAATGCCTGATACTTCGACAACTCTTTGTAAATTGTTCCCTGTCTCCTAAAGTGAAGTTAAGTTACTAATAACGAGGGAATTTTTGGTGCTCTGATCTCCTCGATTAGTAGTAGTAAAAGATATGGGATTGTCAAAGAGATCATTTATCTTTTGTACATTGGGGTCATAATCATTCTTGTCCCTTAAATTTCAAAATAGGTGGATGTAAGAGTGTCAATCGAATAGACAGTTCCAAAAATTAAATTAAAAAATTCGGAATTCGTGGCTCACCACAAGCCATCCAATTTGACATCTAATGAGTGAGAATGATTGTAGTCTCCTCTATGTACAAAAGATAAATGATATCTTTGTAGAAAATCCCAAAAGACATTTGTGAATTGATTTTTGGGGTGCAACATGTTCAGAATTAAGATTTTTTTATGTTTATGGAACAGCGAACCATGGATGCATTGCTGGAGTCGGGGTATTCTCTCATCAAGGAACAAAAACTGATTACTGCCACAAAATTGTCCAAGGAATACTTGAAAAACATGGACTGATTGGATGCCTCTTTATGAGCTCTCTCTCTCTCTCGCTCCCTCTCCATGAAAAACATGGACTGATAGGACAACTTTCTATGAGCTCTCTCTCTTCTATATGAGAACTCTTTATGCTCTCTCTCTCTCCATGAAAAAGATGGACTGATAGGACAGCTGTTTATGAGCTCTTTCTTTCTCTCTCTCTCCCTCCCTCTCTTCTCACTTTTGTTGAGCAACTCATGGCCAATTGCTGCTTAGTTAGCACCCAATTTTTTTTTATATTTCAGGAGTATGAGTTTTAAACACAAGATGCAACTACTAATGGGGTGCTTTCCTTTTGTTAATTGATACAAGGAGGTTCTAAGTAATAAAATATGATAGCTTAGGGGTGTTAAAAAGTTTGAGAAATTTTTTTTTGAACTTTAAACTTGGTTGATGGAATAAATGCAGCGATCCAATTTTACGTGTATCAGTCAAGATTAATTGTGATCACTTTATACCTAAGATAAACGGTCTCATTGTATTTTTTTATTTTTTTTCCCTTCTGGGCAAGTCAGCCATAAAGAGAAACAATGCATATATTAGTAGAACAAAATAATGCCTGGGGACTTGATCAAACCAGTAGCAAATCTGACGCTTGGCCACTGATTGGAGCGCATGTGCGTGAGCATGGCATGCACAACACAAGTGTAGGTATTGGCATATGCACATGTGCGTGTGTATACACACATACATATACAAACACTAGAATTTACCTACAAGTTTTAGGAATGTTTTGTTATTAGAACTTTTTTTAAAAAATCACATACTTTTTTTAAAAAAACACATGAGAGTACCATCCATGCATACCCATTCAGTTTCATATAAAAATGATTCGTAGAAGAAAATAAAATTAAAACACGGAACACACTGTGAGCCATCTGATCTTTGATCAAACAACTCAGAGGCCAACCAAAGTAAGCGTTTAAAAGTCGTTTTTTCTTTCACATATCAACATGAAAACCAGCAAAACCATTTACCTTTGGTGGTGTTAAGGCTTTTGTTTGTTGTTCCATAGACGAATTGATACTCCAAAAAAGAGTTCCGTGTTCTATGAGCAAAAAAATTCTGCATTTTTATAACTCGAATTTTGTGTTTATGGAAAACAATTTTTGTGTTATTTGCATAGATACTAACTGGTTCGGAGAGAATTAATTGCAATGCGAGAGAGAGGTTTTTTATTGCGGAGCTACTACCCTGTTCAAGGAGAATTTTATTGCAAAGCCATTACCTGGTTCAGAGATATTTATTGCAATGTTACTAAAATACTAACTGGTTCATAGAAAGAGAGTGTTTATAGCAATGTTACTACCGGCTTAGAGAGTTTCTATTGCAATGCTATTAACTTGGTCAGAGAAGGGGAAAAGTATACAAAGAGAGTATAATGTGTCAATTGATTGTCCGTTAGATCTCAAATCGAGTAGTTAAAATAATGTCATTGACTAAACTCAAAATTCACAAAAAAATTTTTGAATTTCATGACATACTCCAATCATAAAATTTTATCTCTAATGGCTTAGAATAATTGTGAGCTCCTTATAGCATAAATTTGTAGCATAGATAGATGATCTCATAATATACAATCCTGAGAAGAGAGTTTATTGCAACGGTACTACCTGGTTCACACAGTTTTTATGGAATGCTACTAACTGGTTCACAGAGAGTTTATTGCAATAGCTACCAACTGCCTCAAGGTAAACTCTGCTAGTGACTTCCCAATAAAAATAGAGCCATAAAAAAATGACAACCATGGCCACCTCTCCCTTTTCCTACGCATGACTTTAACTTCGTCACCATTATAGTCTTTTTCCAACTATTTGGAATCGGTTAACTTTATAATATAAGTGAAAAAATAAATATTTTCCTCATTGCTCAGGGATAAGCATCTCAATGACTGTTCCAACTTCGACTGTTCCAACTTCAAAACTTCGCCAAAAGATAAAAACAAAAAGGAACAAATACTTCTTCCAACTTCCAATCCATCAGTGCCAGGATCATGTTGTGCATGTTTGTTTCACTAATGCCTTAGTAAACAGAAAAAATATATAATTTGATGGGACCAAAAAAGAAGGTAAATTTGCCATGGCCCGACGTTTTGATGGCTAAGGAAATTTTTGCTTAAAAGGACTACATAAAGAAACAAAAAAAAGAATCAGACTTTTATTACTGAAACAAACAAGAAATGGACTTGTTTGGCACCCCAATGTTTTACACTCAGCTGTACACACTTCCCTTCTCAACACTACCAAAAACAAACCTATTCAGTCTGCAATTTCCCATTTTCTTGTCTATGAACCTCAAAACCAATCAATGAAGGCAAGAAATAAGGATGAGAAAAAAGAGAAAAAAAATACAACCTCACAACAAACCTGTGGCCACAAAGAATGCCAAGCAGCTGATTAAGAAAGAAAGCTTGATAATCAAACAAAATAAAAGAAGAATGAGTCAAGACCGGGTGGTATCAACTGATTTTCGGGAAACAGCACAAAAAACACTGGCATAGTCCCGTTTAAATCGAAGTGCAAATCACCTCTGCATAAAATAAGATAGCAGATAAGACAGTTATTTTGCGAGTATTATATGACATTAAATTAAAATAAGATAGTATTATATGACATTAAATTAAGATAGTATTATATGACATTAAATTAACTTTCTCAGAGAAAATATTGACATCAAATTAATTGGGCAAGAATGAAGATAAGAAACATACACAATCATAACACAAGAAACATTCACAATGATAAACACAGCACGTTCATTTAACTACTTACAGTTTTTGCATAAAAAGATCATCCTGATTCTGAATTTGGTTTACAAAAGCAAGCATCTTTGTTGAAACTCTAGAATAGATGAAGAGCCATCTTTTGCTTGTTTTGTTTCCATTTAGGTAACTTGTAGAAGCCTTCTTTAGTCATGCCGAATTTCTCCCTGAATTCTGCAGAAGAAAGGTATGTCTGCAATGCACATAACACAGACCAGCATGAATACCAATCTCAGAGAACCTTCTACCATTTTAGTTTCACAGAGAGAGAGAGGGAGAGAGGAATTAACCCATGTTCTACCTCTCGCTTTGTAACATCAATATCTGAAACAGGTTCAGGAGAATTTATTTTTAGGCGCTCGTAAGGGTACATAGGGAGCCCCTCTTCGTCTTCAGCCTCTCCCTCTTTAACATCTTCCTGTATTGTAAGAGCTTCAATCCTACTGCTCATCGAATTGGAGTTCTCTTTGCCATTCAACTCGGAGGGCGTTTTCGGTGTCTTGGGACTCGGCTCTGTTCAACGAAAACAAATAACCCAGTTTTATCACATTGACTTCTCTTCCCTTTGCGTCTTTTAATGTGTACTAGCTAATGCACTTGCTTTGCGAAATGTTTCAACTGAGAAATTAAAAGAAAATTCATTACTAAACATTTAATTCAATGAAAAATAATATTTATACCTTTTCATTTAAATTTTATAGTCTAAAAATTCAATTTCTCGCTTTTCATTTTATAGTGGCGGCAGAGCGACCTAACAGGATTCAAATCTGAACCCGCGAGCCGCCATGCTGGATCCAACAGGTCAGGTTGGGGTCCACTGTACCAGAGGTCAGGTGGTATGTGTTCTGGACCTAATCGGGTCCAGATCAGGGTCAGGCAGGAGCCAACCTGTATTGGACCCTTCTGCTTTACAGGCCTACTATTTTATTAATCTGCAGTAGCTCTCTAGAACAAAATATAGTAATTCCTAGTTCTCTCTAGTTTGGTTTTATTAAAAAGTAGATTTAGATAACAATTTAAATAAATACCCTAGCGGAGAAATTTTTTCAGAACTGTCTTAGGATTTAAATAACAAATAAAGGGATTCCCAGGGAGAGATTTTAAGAGTTCTGGCTGATATGTTGACAGAAAGATGTAGAAAGAGAGAGAGAGTCGAAGGAAGTTTTGGAAGGAAAAATAGTGGTGTGAGCATTTGAAAGTCACACCCTACTTCACACAAGCACACAACCTAGAAGGATGTCATCATGTGCTCATGACTAAATAGGAGAATATTCATGTGCATGTGAGAAGGGGGTCGAGAAAGAGTAGATATTGTGCATGTAAGAGAAAGAGGGAGAGAGAGAGGAGGGAGGGAGGGAGGGAAGGGGAGGGGGGGGGGAAGTGGGTGAGAGAGAGAGAGAGTAGTCATTTGCAAGCGAGAGAGCAGAAATGTGCATGTAACTTTTACCTTTCGGAGGAGTTCGTGATGGTGTACTTTGTTGAGGTTGGTCAAATGTGGTGGTGAGGGCTGCAATCGCTGTTGATCTTGGGGCCAGTTTTATTGAATCAGGGGTCACTGATTTTGGATATAGTTTCCTCACAACTGGGGGTGGAGTCGAGAGGTTTCTTGCATTAGAGTTCTCAAAATTGGCAGCGAGAGCATTGAAGGCAGGAGACCTGCCTCTCACACGCACACGATCAGGGCTAAATGACATGCTTCTCGATCGTTGGGATTTGTCAGGTACACTTGACCTTCCTCCATAAGATGTTGAAGAGCGCCTCTTGGGCTTCTGATCATGTTGAAACATGATAAATTTAAGATTCATGATAAGATGTTGCAAAGTTTTTACACTGGCTGCCTGTAGGCCACCTTCTTAAACCAAACTTGAGATGGGTTAAGGGAAAGTTTAAAGTCCTCACCCTTATTAGACACCGCACCGCCGAAAGAAATCAGGAGTTTCCTTAAATTTACCATATCCATAGTTCTCTACGGGCAGGAATGCATGCATACATATGCATATGCATATATATATGTGTGTGCACACGTTTGGGAAAAGATTTGGTAGGTCCCACAGCCTACACTGTACAAGTCAGCCCAAGGGCCAAACACATAGCTATAAGGATTTGTTTCACCCCAAAACTCTAAAATCATCTTTATAAATCTCCACAATAAATCTAAAAAAAATTCTAAAACAAAGAACTAATTTGGAAGCTCCAAAAAAACTCCAACTCAATTCCCCCTCCAATCTAGACTATCTGTTTCATGGATAATCAGATTAGGGATTTTTGGGTTTTAGAGCAATCATTTTTATTTTATTTTTTAAATTCTTCAGTATGAAAGATTGATGATTTGCAAAATTCCAGGTCAAACAAATCCCGCTTAGCTAGGTGTTTGGTCCTTAGTCAAAGTTGTAAAATGTTAGGCCACAAACCTACCAAATCTCTTTCTTCCATTTGTGTTTGTTCAAGTGAACAAAGGTGCATTCCAAATTCCATTGCAGTTTTCACCTCGTGTATAAACTTTCTGCAAGAACCTAGTCCAATATCGTTTCACATTTTATATTCTTAACAGTAAAAGAAATAGCCAAATATCAGAAACGATTGAAATTAGCAGTTTTGAAAAATAAAAATAAATATAAACCTGATACTCAGATGCCTTAAAAGATAAGAGATAGTTTCCAAAATTTCATTTACCATCAGGCAAGTTTCAACTGACCACATAAATCATTGATACAAGGTTTAACAGCAAAACAAGTTTTGCCTGTCCCTCACCACCCTCCAGATCAGCCAGACATCATGACCAGCATAATTATTTTAAGTGTTAGAAGTAAAGACGAGATAATGAGAAATGATAGAAAAACAAAAGAATAACCACCAAAGGACAACTAAATAGATCCTCAAGCCTTAAGAGGAGTAAAGGAAGATTATCTTACATCCACAGTTGGCATAATTCCATTCTTCACAATAGCAAGCTTCCTCTGGAATGAGTTCCCATGCATCTGTAACAAAGAAAACTAGTAAAAATTTTATAGAGATACAGCAATATGATTAAGAGCATTTTCTATATTAAGACTCCCACTTTTTAACTCATTCATCAACCCAATCCATAGAGATTGAGTACCACATAGGAGAGTAGAAAGCAAAGAAGTAAGAACAAACAAAATGGACATGGTAGTATTCTAAGGATGTAAAATGTCTTTTACTGGATAAAGTAGTGCTCACCGTTGACTTTGCAGAATCCCAAATGAAGAAGCGTGTGAGGAAGGATGGTTCAGTTCCCTCCATGACAACATATATTGGAGTTTCTCTAGATAATTTCTCTAAGAGAAAATCTTGCTCAAGAAATTTCTAAGAAATAAATATTTCACAAATTACTTTTCCATCTTGCAGTCTATATAAAAAATTATATCGTACTAACTAATCAGGAAAAAAAAATATTTATGTTACCGAAAAAAGAGAGAAACGACTGAAGACATACTTCCCCAATAGTCAAAGCTTGCATTTTACTCTTCGAATCCACTTGCTGCCCGATCCAAACAAAGATCTCAGAGTGACAATCCAGAACAAATATGTCCTCAGTCATCAAATCATCTTGGGAAAAGTTGAATATCTCTGTCAACTGTATGAATTACAAAATAAGGCCAAGAGGAAAGAAAAGACGTAAACATACTTCTAATCATCAGATAGTGAAAAAATGAACTAGATGGTGAGTTTAATAGGAGAAATGACAGTAAGAGAAAATAAGAACGAACCTTTAAACTGCCTGAATGTGGACAAGCAGAAAAACAGCCATCCATGGAAAGACAAAAAAATGACTATATTAGATTCACATATGCCACAATAAAGAGAAATTTGGATAATGACAAACCAAAACTGAGAAAATATCGACATCCTACACCAAGTATGAAATATATTTAAAACAACTTTATACATTTTATAATCATTTTTGTATTTTACCTTTTGAAAAGGCGCAAGAGAACAGGTGTGGATCACTTTCAGCTTCCTTAGCCAACTTGTGACTTGGGTATTCACATTTACCACCAAGTAAATTCCAGAACTGTTCAGACTCTGAACCTTCTTTTTGTGGTTTGGACTGGACATTAGGCTGTAAACATTCCAAGACAATGGGCCATATTATTAGTCATGTAGGTACAAAAAAAAATTATGAGTTACCAAAAGCAAGAAGGATTTCTTTCTTTTTGATTGATGGGATTAAACCCAAGGATTACACCTAAGAAGAAAATATAAGAATATCAAGCCATGTAATATTTTGGGAGGAGGAATTTAGTTCCTGTGAAAGAGTACACCCAAGATAAAATCAAGACCGCTACAATAAGTGGACATACACACCCCCACAAGGTCAGCTCATGTAAAAGTTTTATGATCACCCCTAGAAACTTCCCAGAAGAATCCTTTAACAGATAAAATTTGCTGTGAGATTAAAATTTGTTTTATCCATTTTGGGAAAAAACTGAAATAAGGAAAAGGATCTCATCAAAAACAAATAATGTTTCCCCATTTTCTGAAATACTTCCTAACTTTGACTATCTAAAATGTGCTTCCATGAATTGTCACTAAATCAATATGCATGTTTATGTCTTCGGAAAAAAAATTCAAGCAACAGAGAATATTTCTTCTTCGAAACGGGTTTCTTTTCGTATGACTAAGTATGGTTATGAGAGAGGTCATTCAAGTCCAAAAAATATAAAGATTTCCAGTTTCTTTTTTATTTTTTTGAAATTTAAAAAATTCCAGTTTCTGCTTTACATGTAACAAAACACACTCGCAACAAATTGTATTCAAATTAGCTTTGAAGTTTAGGAAGAACTAAAACACTAAGAATGAACACACCTTTATCAGATCCAGTTGCCTCTCAATAAGCTCATGGTCTTCAGAAGTAGTAAGGTTTCCGGACCACGTAAATACAGTCGTGCCTGATAGTAATATGTAGCAATAAGAAGAATTCAAGGATGTCCCCACCTGATCACAATAAAATGCAAGCATTAGGAGAGCATTTATAAACCATGCACATAGCTGGAATGCAACAAATGCCTGAATTAGATGGAAGACCATTTTCCATGCATTATATCAAGAACATTCAGATACAAACTAGACAGACAACTAAGTTTAAGCAATCACTACCGGATCTACTTGAATAGCTTGCATATTATCTGGTCCAGAACCTTGCACTCTGAAAAGTGCAAGCCCATCTTCAGTGTAAGTATCATCAGCAATCCCATTTTCTGATATGTATTTCTTATAACCAGAACTAATGCCACCCTGAAAATATAACATGTCAAAGTTTAGCAGTGATCAGATCACTAAAAGAAAGATGAAAAAAGAGCAAGCAACAAGTAACAAGACGTATAAATAACAAGACCAAACCTTAAACACGATGAAGCTCTGGAAAATTGAGAAGAATTGGATAGGTTCTTTGCCTTCATATATCCGAGCCTGCAGAGACTCAGATCAGGGATGCATGCAAAAATTAAAATGCAAAGAACCCAGGTATCTCAAGGTTCAATTGAAAAGATATTTGACCATTATAAAAACTAGAGCTACCTGAACAGCCTGCCCCTTCAAGGATTCTGCCATCTTATTTACCAATGTAATCGCTGCACCTCTCTCATCCTACAACAAATTGCCCACCACACGTATTAGATTATCTCTATAGTATCACATAACCATAGTCAAAGGAATAACCTAGCAAGTATGAGAAAGCTATAAGTGGTAGCAATAAAAAGCTAAGGCATAAATATAAGGCTGCAGCCCCACTCATCAAAGTAGGGTTGCAGCCATCTGCATTGTCCATTTATTTGGATGAAGCAGATATTGCACAGTGCCCAACTAGGGAAACTGGGCCTCTCAAAACTTTCACTCTCTAAACTTCTTCCCTGATTCTTCCCTTCTCGATTCTTTTACTCTCTCTCTCTCTCT